TGTGTATATATATGTATGTGTGTATATATATATATAAATATATATATATATACACATTTTCCCCTATGCTTTCCATTTCTTTATTCTTTCCCACATTGTATTGATTCATAAAATATCTTACTTAATCTAAATACTTCTATAGTAAGTTCAGCTGGTATATACATATCTGTGAACAAAAGTTTTCTTTAGGCATGAAACTCTGTGGGTAGAATGGATATACTATAAAATAACACATAGCTGAATCCATATAGCCTACTGTGGTTATAGAATAGGTATTTTTTAAATACTTTTTTTTAATTTCAAGAAATGCAGTTTTAGCTTTAATAAAACAAAACAAAAAAAAATGTTAAGAGAACTTTGCTTCATACTTAAAGCCAGAAAACAGGTTAGGATTCTGTTTGAATAGTAGGTATACGGACTTGTCCACAAGTTGAAAGAAGACAAAACTCCTTAACACTGGAAAACAAAGCATAGAAGGTCAGTAATGTTTTAGTCAAAACTCATAAAATTCTATTTCACCAGTTCAAACTCATGTACTTTATCTTCTACTGTGGTCCCAGCTTTCCACTTAAATTCTGAAAGATAACATTTAACTCTGGACTTTGCTCTACATTTAAGCTGGTCATTTTCTTAGCTGTTCTAGAGCACTTATTTCTGTGTGTCTGACTTTAGTTTTCCTGGGATAGCACTCCCTTCAGAACTTCTTGGAGAGCTGGTCTGGCATTGGTAAATTCTTTCAGGTTTTGTTTATCTGAGAATGTTCTTGTCTTCTCTTCTCATATGAAGGATAAACTTGCTGGACATAGTATTCTTGGTTGAAATTGTTTTTCACTCAATACTTCGAATATATTTTCCCATTCTTTCCTTCATCGTATCATTTCCAATGAGAGGTCCACTGTTAGCCTGATGGGATATCCTTTGTAGGTAACTTGACATTTCTCTTTTGCCAGTCTGAGTATATAGTATTTGTCTGTGACTTTGGTCATTCTGGATATAATATGTGTTGGAAAAGATCTTCTTGGGTTGATCTTATTTTGGGTCCTTTGTATTTCTTGAGTCTGAATCTTTGAATGTCTCTCTAGGTGAAACCAAGCAAGGGCCCCCTAATGTATTTTCTAAAGTCCTTGAAATATAAGGTCCATTTACATTATAATGGCCCAGAGTAAGAAGTAAGTCTTCAGGCTTTGGTTATGATAATGGCCAACATGGACCATAAATAAGGGCCATTTGACCTCTAAAACTATCACTTAAAGGAAAGATAAGGTTTTCATTTCAATATGTAAGATGTTTTATAGGCTGGAAACTACAGGTTGTGAGCTCAAAGACTACAGGCTGAATGGCTCCAGACACCTGAAGAGAAATTTGATTATCTAAGGACTCAGCAATCAATAATGCCCATGAGATGATCATGCCCTCTTGAACCAATCATTAAACTGATCATGCACGTAGGACCTCTGCCCTTAATTTTTGCCCTTAAAAACGCATGTGGGGAACATCTTGGGGAGACTGGGTCTTTTCAGCATGAGCTGCCCTCTCTCCTTGCTTTGTACTTTGCAATAAAGCTATACTTTCCTTCATCACATCATGTGCCTATGGTTTGTTATCATAGCCCTTGGACGAGTGAACCTGATTTGAGTTCGATAACTTGTTCCTTAAATGTCTTGACTCTCTCTTTCATAGTCTGACTGGATTCACTTAGTGAGATATCTTCCATATTAGTCCTCATTCCCATGGACTCCCATGTAGTCAACCATGGTTCGAGTACAGACACTGCTGCTTAAAACACATGCCAGACATATGTGCATGTGTGTTCAAAATCCTGAGAGGAGACTGAAGGAAAAGGGATTATGGCATAGCCATTCGCCCTAGGAGGTGATTTCTCAGTCTCTGTTTCTGTGGTAAGCGGACATGCCATATAGCAAAAGTCTCTCAAAAACCAAAAACAAAAACAAAAAAAAATGCATTTCTTTTTATTTTTATTTTCCTTCTTCTCTCCCCTCCCCATAGTACACATATGCTCACTGGAAAGATATATGTTTAGACAGAAGGAAAGTGAAAAATCAGTTCCCGGGTCCCCAGGGGTATAGCCATGCTGCAATCCTTTCTTCCCTGTTCTCCTGTCAAGATTTTTGGCGTTATGTACAAGCACTTGGCATGATTTTTAAGCAGCCAAGTTCAGACTTGAACTGCAGTTGGCCATGTGGGATTACAATGCCTTAACCACTATGCCACTTGCTGTTCCCTAAACAATGCATTTCTACTGTTTAAAACATTTAATCTGTAGTGATTTTTAAGGCAGCCCTAGTAAACAAATAAAGTCAATACCAACATATATAACACAGGAATAGATCTATAAAACATTCATGGAAGGGATCAGCAGTTAGCATAATGGCTATGTCTCTGGACTCCCACGTAGTCGACCGTGGTTCGAGTCCCAGACCCGGTGGCTTAAACTCCCAGTGGTCAAGCTTGTGTGCGTGTGTGCCCAAGATCCTGAGAGGAGGATGAAGGAGAAGGGATTGTGGGGTGGCCATCCCACCTGGGGGGTGATTTCTCTCTTTCTGTCTCTCTGTCTCTCTCTGTCTGTCTGGTGAGCGCACATGCCCTATAGCTAAAAACTCTCCAAAAAAAAAAAAATTCATGGAAAATGAATGCTATTTAAAATACTGTATGGATTTCAAAAATGTTTTGCAAATACTAAACTCATATTTTACTTCCAGTTACACAAACTTTTTAAAATCTTATCTGAGCATATATATGCATGTATATGTGTAAAAGAGTGTATATATAAACTTAAGAAGAAAATAAATGACACGATGTTTTAATAGATGTACAGTCTGCATAAGATTTAGAAGAATGTCAGACATAATGACATATACAGTCTAAATAGGCCAGACTGACTAAGAATTTACATAATGTATGGAAAGCAGGTGGTGTAATGGTTATGTTGTTGGATTACCACATGGCTGATTACAGTCTGAGTCCCAGACCTGATGCCTTGACACTCATGCTGGGTGTATGTGCATGCATGCTCAAAATCTCAAGAGGAGAATGGAGGAGAAAGGATTGCAGTATGGCCATCCCCTCTGGAGGGGTTATTTCTTGCTTTCTGTCTCTCTCTCTCTCTCTCTTT